GTGCCCTCCCCCGGGGGGCTACCCTGGAGCTAGACCCCTCACCCTTCTGGAAGCCGCCCCAGCCTGACGGCACCGTCCTGGCGCTGCCGGGGGAGGCGGCTGCCGGTGCTGGAGCTGGTGCTGGTGCTGGTGCTGCAGACGGGAGGGAAACTAATGGTGGTGGAGAGGGGAAAACGGGGCAGGGCAGGAGGCGACGGCGGCAGCAAGAGGGGGGAGAGGACGAGGAGGGCGACTACTTTTTTGGCGGTGGTGGCGGCGATGATGGTGGTGGTGGTGGTTCTTCCGGCGGCGGCGGAGGGACGGGGACTGGCATCCAGCTGGTGGTTGACCCCCGGGGTCGGTTTGGTGATGCCACCAGCGTCACGACGGGACCGGATGGCAGCATCTGGGTGCTGTACAGGTGGGCAGGTGGCGGCTGGTGTTTGTTTGTATGTTTGTATGTATGCATGCATGCCACCATCGACATCATCATCATCATCATCATCGTTGTCGTCGTATGAATCCCCCTCCCCGCCATTCCCCGGGGCGGTTGGTGCTTCGGACGTCAGCAGTTGTTCCGTTGTGACTTTTGCGTTGTCCTTCACGGTACACTTTCCGATACCTTTTCCTCTTTGCCGCCTTCAGTTCTTCACTTCACCACTGCGGCTTCCTTTGATTTCCTGCTTTCTTTAAAAAGACTTTCCTTTCATCTCTGCGGCGGCTAGGTAGTTTTTCTCCGCTTTTTCGCCTTTCTATCTTCTTTGGACTTTGACTTGGCATCAGCTAGTAAGTAACTCGTTTCGCAACCCAGCTATGGCCATGTCGCCTCCGTGACCACTATTCAAGTCATCAATGGTCAGTTGTAAATATCCCTGATGATGATGATGATGATGATGCACTTGTCTTCATCTCCTGGAGTATATCCGTCTATCTGCTTTTGCTTCATTCGCCAGTGGTTTGTCTTACCCCTCTTCTCCTTCCCCCCTTCCCCTTCTGGCGCATCAGTCTTTCCTTTCCATCAGCTTCACTCGCTCGTGGGTCGTCTTACCCCCCTTCCCCTTCCTTTCAGGGCTTCCGGCGTGTGGCAGGGGGACACCTTTGACAGCGCCAACCGCATCACCCGCAGCCGCCCGGTTCCCGAGGCAGTGGTGGTCCGCCTGGACCCGGATAATGGCACGGTGCTGGCTCGCTGGGGTGCGGCCACCTTCTACCTGCCCCACATGATCTCCACGGACGCAGATGGGAATGTGTGGGTGGTGGATGTGGGGCGGCATCAGGTAAAAGGGGGGGGGACGGGAGAGGAGGGGGGGAGGGACAGAGGGGGAAAGACGAACCGGGAGCGAGTGAAGGTGTTGCCAAGGAGGAAAGACTGATGCGCCGGATGTTGAAGGATAGAGGAGGGGGGGAGGAGGAGACGTTGGATTACCAACCAGCAGCTGCGTAGAGGAAAAGGGGCCCGGGGGCCGGAGGGTGGAGGGGACGGAGATGCATCATGCTTTTTAACTGCACTTGGACATTGTTTCCCGGCATATAACTCGTTTGTCTTTTTCCTCCTTTTTTTGTTTCCTTTGATTTGGCACATAATGCCCCTCCCGCCGTTTCAGCTGTGTTGACGTTTTGCTCTTTGCATATGTTTCCCGCCCTCTCCCTCCCCTCCCGTCTCCTCCCTTCCCCCCTCCCCTTCCCGCCCTCACTCGCTCACTAACTCGCTCCCGGGGGGGTTAATGCCTCAGGTCCTCAAGTTCACGCCGGAGGGGCAGCTGCTGCTAGCTATGGGCACGGAACTGACCCCCGGGTCCGGACCCAACCAGTTTTGTAAACCAACTCAGGTACCCTGGTCGTGTGTACTTGCGGGCGGGGTGGGGTGGGGTGGGGTGGGGTGGGGGGGAGCGACTTGCCCTTCTGAGGGGGGCTTGGGGGGTACGACGAAGCACAAGCGGTCGGGGGGGTCCCCGGCCCGGGTAATGGGTGGTTATGGGCCAGTGGTTGCACGCACATGCACACATATACACAAAGATTGCCCCCGTTCTCGCCTTCCCGTACTCCAGCCTGCTACACCCCAGTCACGTCGCGTCTTGGCCTGTGTTTCTCACACACACACACACACACACACGGGGGATTGTCAACCCCCACCCTTAACACCCCCCCCCCTAGGTTGCCGTACTCCGTGACGGCAGTTTTCTGGTTGCTGACGGCTACTGCAACGATCGGGTCGTTTGGTTTGATGCGGAGGGGAGGTACAAGGGTGAGCGCGTGTTTGTGGGTGGGCGTAGAGGGGTATGTGAGTGTGTATGTATGTATGCGAATGTGGTCGTGGAGGCGAGATGTCGTGGCCGTATCTTTCTTGGTGGGCCTTAACGCCGCCACTGCTGCAAATATGTTGGTGGTATATTGGTAGTGGTCGTGGTGGCGTGTGCCCTGACCCACACGTTTTGTCACATGCAGTCGTGACAGGATGTATGTATCTGTTACGTTGTGCGAGTTATGATGATGTATTTGTGTATTTCTTCCAGCCAAGCAACCTGGGGCCCCTCCTTCCTTCAGGGTCCTCGCATGTCTGTATGTCTGTATGTATATACACCTAAATATACACATATTTGTATACACACATATATATGTATATATATGCCATACCCCTCTTATCTCACACCCCCCACCCCCGGCCCCCTCCGTCCGCAGCCGAATCCGTTGCCATCCCGCCGGTGGTTCACTCGGTGCTGGTGGACGAGTGCGAGGGGCTGGTGTACGTGGCGTCCAGGGAGGCCGGCCAGGTGGTGGCCCTGCACCTGGGGCCCCCGGAACGGAGGTTGCAGCTGGCGGCCACATACGAGATAGGGCGGCAGGGCCATGAGCAGGTGTTGGGGGGGGCGGGGGACGGGGGGGGCTCACCCGGGGGCACTTTACCTTTCCCCCTTTTCCTCCCCCTTATTTCCCCTCTGTTTCCCCCTCCTTTGGGGGGCCGGGGGATTGAGAGGTGGTTGGGGTTACAGGTCTATGGTTTGAGCGTATATCCCCTCGCCTCTTTTTCTTTTTTCCTTGCCGCCAAGGTAGAGTTTTCCACACTGAAATTCCCCGTGTCACTCAACCCCCTCTTCCCTCTCTTTGGACTTCAGCAGCTGTTTTCCTCGGGGGAGGGAGGGAGATTTTGATTTTAATTTTTCCGTCCTCACCTTCCCTTCTTACCCTCGCCTCTCCCCCTTCCTCTTAACCCCCCTTCAGTCGTACTTTCCTTTCTCTCACCCCTTTCCCCCCCGACCCCATTACACCGCCCCTCCGGGGTCCCGTTCCTCTCGCGGCGGCAGGCGTGGGCCCTAGGGTTTGGTCCGTACGGCGAGCAGCTGGTGCTGATGTGGTCGGAGGGTCAGGTGAGGGAGGGGGGTGAGGCAGAGGGGCCGCTGGGCTGTGTTATGCGTGTGTGTTATTTAATGTTAGGGTTGGCGTCCTCACACATCTTCCCATCCAAGCCCCAAGCCCCCAAACCCCCCCCCAAACACACACACACACACGCGTATACCCTCAGGACGCCCGTCTCGTCAACGTGCGGTTTCCTCAGCAGTTCTGGAACCTTCCCGGCACCGCCCGCCTCTCCCCGCACGACTTCCAGCTGGGGGGTGCGCCCATGCAGCTGGCGGGGGCGGGGGACCGCATGTACGCCGTGTACCTGGCCTCCGTGGGGGCGGCATGCGACCAGAACTGCGGTCCGCTGCGCAAGTTTGTGGTGGTGCCGCCTGGAGTGGCACTGCCGGAGGCGAAGGTATACGTTGCTGCCGGATACGTTGCTGCCCTTCGGGCTGTTTGGTTGGATGTGCATGTGTGTGTGTGTGCATGTGTGTGTGTGTGTGCATGTGTGTGTGTGTGTTTGAATAGTTCATAAACTGAGCCGCGATGCGTGTGTATGTATGTTGTTACAGGGTGGTTAACTTCGCCAGCGGCCCCCTTTCCCGGGGCAGTCCCTGCTCTCCCCTGCTAGAGGGGCACCCTAATCCGTCACCCCATCCGACTTCAGAATGTATTCGTTGAGTTCGGCAACTCACCACCAGCATCCAACCAAATCTAGCGGATCAACGGCGCATCAACTTAGTTCCTGGTCAGCTCGCAAGTTGATATTATCACGTCCTACACCGTCCATAAGATGGGGGGCCACCTCCCATTTCATCACTCCTCAAACACCCGAGGAGCCGGCAGGCGGATTTGAACCCGGGTCGACTGGGTCAACTGGGAGCAGAAGTCAGGCCTTAACCTCTGCCAGCCGCCTGTGTATGTCTTTATGTGTCCATTGTATTAGTAGTAGTGGGGTTGTCCTGCGCCAAAAAACGCAGCGCTGTGGTGGATATGTGTGCGTGTGTTTACCAGCCCCCTTTCCCCCCTTCCTTCTTCCCCCCCCCGCCCGCAACCCTGCAGGATTTACCCACCATCAGCCACGTGACGGATATTCACCCCGGGGACGCCGAGCTGCTGCCCGGGGGCACTGCGGTTTCGGAGCAACCCCACCATCTGGAGCTGCCGCCGCAAGAGCGGGAAGTGGGCGTGTCCAATGCGGCGGATGGCGGCGCGGAAGGTGTAGTGGAGGCGGGTGGCGGCGCGGAAGGCGGCGGTGCGATGGTTGCTGACGACTACGATGAGGAGCTGGAGGAGGACGTGGTGGCTGCGGAGGACTACCAGGAAGAGGAGGAGGAGAAGGAGGAGGTGGGGTGGGGAGAGGGAGGGAAAGGGGGGAAAAGACGAACCACGAGCGAGTGAAGCTGATGCCAAGGAAAGAGACTGCTGTGGCAGATGTAAAGAAAGCACAACTAACCAGTCGGCGGTTGTGAAGAAGCAGTCCTCGCGATCATGTAGTCATGACAATTGCGGAAAACTACCTACCTAGCCGCCAAGACTACATTAATGGAGGGATGGAAAGGGGGAGGGATGGGAAGGAAGGAATGTAGGGCCCAAGGTGGCGAATCTGTGAAAAGGTTCTCGAGTATGTTTGTCTGTGCCTGGTGCGGAATTAACACGCGCAGGCACCGAACGCACACCTCGAGCAGTGATACGGAATTTCATCCGTTATGCGTTTCCCATTTGGGGCCGACTAACTTCACTGCCTATTTGAAGTAGTTGATGATGTTACAGGGTGGTATAGCTCCACCAGCGGCCCCCTTTCCCTTGGAGGCAGTTCCCTGCTCTCCCCTGCGAGAGGGGCACCCTAATCCGTTCACCCCATCCGATTTTAGAATGTATTCGTTGGGTTCAGCAACTCACCACCAGCATCCAACCAAATCTAGCGGATCAACAGCGCCACAACTTAGTTCCTGGTCAGCTCGCGAGCTGCCATTATCACGTCCTACACCGTCCATAAGATGGGGGGCCACCTCCCATTTCGACACCCCTCAAACACCGAGGGGTCAGCAGGCGGATTTGAACCCAGGACCTCCGGGAGCAGAAGTCAGGCCTTAACCTCTGCCAGCCGCCTGCCTAGTTGTTTGTTTAGCCACCCTACCTACCTACCCTGATCAGCCCACTGGACAGCCCCGCTTATCATCCCCCGGCTTGGCTGCCCTCTCCTACATGCCCCCTGCCGATCACTTCCCCCTGTTCCTCTTTTTACCCTTCCCCTCTTCGATCCCCGTTGCCGTTGGTTTTTTATATCATGTGCATATGATTCCTCCCGCCCTCCCGCCCTCCCTGGACTTTCAGGCACAGCTCAAGGCGACAGAGGGACAGCCCCACCACCAGCAGGTCCCCGCCGCGCCGCTGGAGAAGGAGCGGTTCGAGGTGCTCGTACAGGACAAGAAGGTGGGCGGGCGGGGGGGGGACCGGGGGTGGGGACACGCCCCGTCCTCGTATGATCCTATTGCGGCTGAGTGCTCGTAGTGTTTGCTGCATCTCAGCCTGCCTCACAACGTTTCGTGGCGTAGGAAGGCATCAAAAGAGACGAGTTCTGCAATATGATACGAACCCAACTAATTCGGATACTTGTGATGTGTGTTTTTGTTGCGCAGGTGGTTGAGCGGAGCACGTCCATCAGCGGCTGGGGCTTAGTACTACTGGCGATACTTGTCGTACTCCTGGCGTACAGTGTACTGCGCTTTTCCAAGATCTCCCTGTCGGCCTACCTGCAAGAAGACAGTCAGGCGGCGGGGGCGCCAGCGACAGCACCACCAGCAGGTGGTGGTGCTGGTGGTGGTCTTCTGGCGGCGGGGGGTTGGCGGAAGACGGCGGGTGTGTGGGCGGCGGCTGCGGAGGGGCTGTGGTCGCGGATTGGGGCAGCTCGGGGGGGGATAGGGGGGCCTCGGGCTGCCAAGTCGGGCGGGGGCGGGGCGGCGGGGCGCGAGGTGGAGGCGGCAAGAGACCGGGAGCGATTGTTGAAGAGTGAGCCATAAGAGAGGGGGAGGCAGGGGAGGAGGCAGGAGGGAGGAGGAGGAGGGTAAGGGGGTTTGGGTGCGTGTGGAGTTGTGTTGTGTGGGTTGGGTGCGGGTGATGTTTTGTCGACAATACAGTTGCAATGCGCACGAGGCACACATACAGACAAGACTGACTGACTGACTGACTGACTGACTGACAGACTGGCATTTCAGACATTCCAGACGGACACATTTCAACACTCCTCGCGGCTCAGAAACACACGCACATACCAAAAATGTGCATGCATAACCAGGACACACACGCACATGCACATGCAGCTAGTAGAGGTGGTGCTTCCCTACGACGGCTGCTCGTAGACATTTTGGCTAAACCTATCATTGTGACTACATTCCCCATCTGTATGTATATCCCTTGGGACGTGGGGGGCGGGGTGGGGGCCGGGGAGTTTGGCGTACGCTGATGGAGGTGGGAAAGCAGCTGCGTCTCAAAAGGGAGTGGCAGGGTCGTGCGGGTTGGGGGGTTTGGTGGGGGGAGAGGTTTGAAGAGGATGAGAGAACTTGGAGCTGCGAGCCAAACGTTTGCGTATTCTCATAGGGTCTTGCGTCGCCGTGGGTGGTACGGTCGAATGGCGGCAATACACCTCCTCGTCACCCTCTGCTATAATTCTGCAGCCCCGCATCTGCCAAATGCGATTTCAGCTCGTTGGGTGTTATCACCGCGTCTTGTTATCATTCCCCATTGGAGGCCCGGCTGTCTGTGGTGGGGCGGACCAACAATTAAACAAAGAAAGACACAAAGGGCTTGAACACTTGGATTTCCTGTTGGTGAAAACACAATGGCAAGAAACCTAGGTGTCCCCCCACACAACCCGATTTGGATGGATGCACAGACGGATGGACGGATGCGGGGCGTGTGGCGGGAATTGGGGGGGATGGGGGGTAAAAGCACCGTGGGGGGCAGGGCCCTTTTCCTTGCGAAGTGACAAACTTCCTTAACCTGGGGTAAGAAGCGGATTATGATGGGCGGCAGCTAGTGCCGTGTACTCATTGTGGCAGCGATCCCTCGCATTGCCCTATCGGTTACATCCCAGAGCTCTTGCCGTTGATGTCGTCAAAAGGGGGTACCAGCTTTGGTGGTGGCTGTGCTGGCCACGTACCACAATTGCAAGCCATGCAGTATGTGAAGCCCATGTGAGACTGGTTGCCTGGGTATGTTCGGACAGAGCTGTCTCAAGGTTGGAGTCCATGATGATGACAGAGAAGGCCTTTCGATGCCCCGCGATGTTGAAGGTAATCATCGAATTCTCCAGCATGGGTGGGAGGTTCTTGTCTCCGTGGGAGCAAATGATACTGATACTGATACTCCGGTACTGACGCGCCCGCCGCAGGGGAGGAGAGTGAGAGTGGTCCAAACAACCCGCCACAGCTTCGTGTGACAGCACGGTCAAATAAGGTCGAGAATACAACCTAGAGCTCATACTTCGTCCCCCTTGTCCCCTTTGGCTCCGAGGGGGGAGCTCCACCCGATAGACTCACTCTTGTGACGGTCGCGAAGTCTCTATCTCCTTGAGGAAGCAACGCGGTCACCTTCTGCCTCTTCGATGCGGAAGCAGGCGACGGATGAGGAGATGGCGTCATTGTGGGCTATAACCGTGTTTGTACACTTGAGGTACCTCCAGCAAAAGATGTTCGTGCATGACCCGTGATGTGGGTGTACACGTTGCAGAGGGATGCGAACGGAGAGATTGTTTCCGGGATTAGGCACGTTTGGTGGTGAAGGGTTTTGCACAGGTCGAAGGCGGGGACTATGACTGTGTAGAGGTCTGGGCTGCGGTCAGGAAACACATTACGCGTCGGGCTTTGCTATCTGTTGTTGTGACCCAAGATCTAGGACTGCACCAGATGGATGTGAAGACCGTGTTTTTGAATGGTGTGTTGGAGGAAACCGTTTATGTCCAGCAGCCACCTGGTTATGGTGCGGGTAGTTAGTTCCTGCATGGCGTGCACGATAGGAAAGGCGTTGTATGGGCTGCAACAGGCTCTGTGTGCCGGGTATGCGCGCCTGAGGCCAGAGCTGGAGGCTATAAAGTTCAAGGTGTCGCAGGCTGACCCTGGCCTGCTTTACCGGGACGTGAATGGGGAACGAGTGTATTTGCTAGCCTACGTGGATGACCTACTGATAGCGATGAAAAGCCTCAGCATCTTGCTTGCATTAGCTGACGGCGAAGTTCAAATCTGTGTTCGATATACGGGACCTGGGGGAGGCTCGTGTATTTTTGGGTTTTGAGATTGAGAGAAATCGCCTGGAGCACATGATTAAAGTGTCGCAGAAACGGTTTGCTATGGAGCTTGTGGAGAAGTACGGGATAGCTGATGCAAATCCAGGCTTGGTGCCTATGTCACATGGCACTGTGCTTTGCACGGCTGGGTAGGCTCTGGATGTGCAGCAAAATCGGTATGGCAAATTGGTAGGTAGTACCCGCCAAATAGCGCCCAACACCCTTTGCAGCTTGCCAGTGCTCAACTGTAGGCTTGGACATGAAACCCGCAAGTGCTCTCTCGGAATGAGGAGTATCGGGCCTTGTACCCATTGACAAACGTAACAGACTACCTCCCAATTCGCCATACCGGTGTAGGCATTGTGTATTCCTTAAACCCTTTAGGGTTTAGGGTTTTCCAAACCCTAAAAACCCTAAAGTCTGGCGCAGGAGGCCTTCATGCTTCCTGTGACTCGGACTATGCGAGCTGCGTGGATACGAGGCGGGGTCTACCACCGGCTATGTGTTTTTGAGTGCTGGTTTGGTGCTGTGAGCTAGTACAGTCGTTCACAACCGACAGTCGCTACGTCAACGGCTGAAGCTGAGTACATGGCAAGTGGAGCGGCGGCGGCGGTTTCGCCACTTGTCGCGTGACTTGCAGTTGGGTTTGTCGTCTGTGCCTATTAGGTGCGACAATGGACCAGCGATCAAGATCATCAGCAACCCGACCTCGTCGGTTCGTTCGAAGCACATTGACGTGCTACACCACTTTGTTCGTGAGCGTGTGGCACGCGGAAAGATTGATTTTCGTATTGCAAGTAGGCGGATTGCCTCACGAAGCCGTTGCCACTCCCGCAGTTCAAGAAGTGCTGCGATATGTGTGTGCGTTGATGGATTGCTACATGCACTTATAGTGTAACGCCGCTAAGGCGGCCCTTGGCTCACCGGGCCAACGGTCATCGTACCAACGGCACACCTAAGAACTATTCATAATCCTTCCAATACCAAACGGACTTATCAATACCACCACTATAGCTGGATAATTATCTTAACGACTGCTTTGCCGATTGCCAAGCTTTGTTACAATTTTGGTATCTTAGACCAACCGGTCAAAAGGACCTCAGAGTCGAGTACTCCCTCGCTTCAGCACAACACATTCACACTATAAAGATTTTCTATCTAAACTACATGTAAGTCCTGCACGCAACCCGATGCGCGCTCAGTCCACGGAGACGGAATACGAGCGCTATCAGCTGCGCCAGGTGAGCCCCTCCATGCCAAAGTAACTGGTACAAAAGGTCCAGGAAATCTACTATAAGTATGTGAGGTGTGCCCTGCGTAAGGGTAATACTGCCATCGCACATTGTTTGAAAAAGTCAGACAGTTCTGCGATGAGCACGATTATCGCTCCGCACTCGGCTTCCTAATGGAAGCCAATTAGGAACTCTCCTGTGCGCAGAAAAGCCGCGAACTGCGGGAAGGCTTAGCCGCTGTCGCGCATGGCGCCAACAACAACATCGAGGCTTGCGGCAACGCCGCCGCCGATAACGCCATCAAGAACAATAATAACAACAATGGACAACCGGGCGCTCACGACCCGGCCGGTCCCGGACCACCACGCCCAGGTACTGTGCAGCCAACGGCCGCCGCCACAGAGCCGGCAAGGGTAACTGGGCCCACCGCCGCGCTCCAGCCGCAACGCGGCACACGGCAGGGTGAGTTTCGCGAAGAGCAGTGAGCGTAACGGCATCACTGCGGCTAACTCCATCCCACCTGAGGAAGGGTTGCCACCACTTTCCCACCACCCAACCACCCACCCACCCACACCGCCCGGATGGGACGCCTGGCTTATCGGACTGTTTGTCACAGCATTTTGGCGTATCCAACATCAAATATCTGTGCCCAACTGGACAGTTGACTGATCGTGAACCATTGGCTCACCCCTTCTTCATCCGCCCGTGTTCCCAACTATGGACATGTTCACAGAATACCCTTGTTCATTCTGCTGTACCAACCATGGCATCGTTGTGGCCAACCATCCAACATAACAATCCTTCCCCCCTTAGGGCGCGCTATTTGCACTAGCAGCCAGTGTGCAATTAGATACATAGATTTCAGTGCTTCAAGTTCCCATGCAGTCGCTTCAGCAGCCGGCAGCTCCCTGGGTGAGGGGGCTGCTTAGGAACTCCCAGCACCGACATCTATGTATCTAATTGCACACTGGCTGCTAGTGCAAATAGCGCGCCCTAAGGGGGGAAGGATTGTTATGTTGGATGGTTGGCCACAACAACAAATCGTGATGCCGTGGTTAGTATGACATAACAAACAAGGGTGTTCTGTAAAAATGTCCACAGTCCACAGAAAGTTCAAAATGTTCTCGTCCTAGATGGGATCTATATGCATGGTATGTTCAGGGCAAGCCTGGCTAACCACAGGTAAGAGCCGTCTCTGTAATGTAACAGCCGTCTCTTACCTT